GCTGTGCCCGTGGCCGGAGCTGAAGCGGTACGGGGTGAGCAGGGGGCTGCAGCCGCCCTCCCTCAGCCTCCTGTAGCAGCAGTCGTGGGCTTGGCAGCACCTGCGGGGACACCGGGTCAAGGCGCGGCCCCAAACCTCCCTCGGCAGCCCTGGAGGGCAGGGGAAGGTCCAGCCTCAAAGGTCGGGGAGAAGAGGGGGCGAGGCGCCAGCGGGACCCGGCTGGGGAGCGGTGCCAAGCCCCCGGCGCCGGGAGGCAGCCAGCGAGAGCCCTGCAGGGGGCTGGGGGCCGCTCGGGGTACTCACCGGTCGGTGGCATCCACGGGGGTCCCGGAGCCCCCGATGCCGCAGAAGCAGCCGTACCAGCTGTAGGACAGCAGGGCGCTCCTCCCCGTGGCCGCCCGGATCATCCGCTCCAGCTCCAGGACGCTGGTGCCGGCCGGGGGCAGCGCTGCGGGGCACGGGACGGGCTGTGCCGGGGCAGGGCTGGCAGCCCGCGGGCGTTCCCCGAGCCTCGCACCCGGCAGGGCCACTGCACTGCTCTGGCATTGCCCGAAACGTGCCCTTTTGGGATTTGAACCACGAGAAGCTTTATCCCCTCCTCCGGAATGATGGACTCATGGAAAGGTTTGGGCTGGAAAGAACCTCAGAGTCTTGTCTTGTTCCACCTCCTGCCATGGGCAGGGACACCTTCCACTATGCCAGGTTACCCCAAGCCCTGCCCAGCCCTGCCTTGGACACTTCTAGGAGTGGGACAGCCACAGCTTCTCTGGGCAATCTGTGCCAGGACCGTTCTCTCAGGGAGGATGGCTTTTTCAGTCTGGCTTTTACAGCCTCTGGATTTGGTCTGGCACAAGATATTTTGCCCTTTGGACTGACTCTGCCATGCTGCAAACTGCCATCCCCCATCACCAGGATCAGCCAGGGGCTTGGCACAGGCGGGAAAGGTGACAACAGGCTGGAGGGCTTCCCAAAATAAATATGGACATCAGCATCCCAAAGCTTTCCCTTCACCAAGCCTCCAGGATTGCAGCAGTTCTACACAAAAAACTAGAGAAACTGCCAGATTTAAACAAAGACATGAATTGTGCACAAAGACTCAGGGTTTACAGATGGATTCTGGCCTGGCCAGGGACAGCAGGGCACTTACCACAAGCCAGGAGCACGGCAAGGAGGAGATTCCTCATCCTGGGCTGCCCTGGAGAGGGAACAAAGATGGGTGATGATGCAGGGCAGGACAGAAGCTTCTCCAGTGCCCACAGGAGCTGGGTGCACCCGGGCAGTGCCTCAGGTGACATTCCTGTGGGTACCCAGCACTGCCAGGCTGAGTGAACCCTGGCTGTTCTGTATCCCAGTTTTGGGATGTGGGGCTTGGCAGGGATGGAGTAGCTTGTCCTGCCTGGGGCTGCTGGAGCAGCTCAGGACCTGCAGCCTTCCCCCACGCCCTGGGCTGCCTGATGAACACCAGGGCAGTGAAATCCCCTCTTCTTACCCTGCCTGGACCTGCAGCTCCAACGCTGCTAGCTCAGCGGGGTGGGTTTATATCCCTGCGAGGCCCACCCCCTCCTCTATCTGTGCTGATGGTGTCAGTTGTCCTAAGCCAGGCTTGCCTGGAACGGGGAGCTTCTCTTCCCCAAAAAATGTGAGTTTTCCCACATCAGTGAGCACCAATTCTTCCTCCATCCTCTTGCTCATCACTGAGCACGAGGCCATCTCCATCCCTGCATGAGGCCAGTGAAGGCCTTGGCCATGGCCATGGTTTTAAAATCCATGGGATTTGGTGGCTGGAGAAGTGGGACAAAAGTGGAGAACCAGTTTGCATCCCTTTTATTGTATCTGTTATCTGTGCTGGGAAACGGAATCGAGAGAGGAGGAAGGGACAAAAAAGAGGAAGCTGGTGTGTCTTTCCAGGAGCTGGTGGGGCTCCATCCGTGGTGTGTGTGCCCTTCTCACCCCGAGCTGCACCTCACAGGGAGCCTCGGGGGCTCTGCCTTTACTGAGCCCCCAAGCCAAGCTCTTCTTGCTGGGGAAAAGCAGCCAAAATCTGGGACTCTGTGCAGATTCGCCCTCCTCAGCACTGGAGCTTGCTGCCTTGGCATTTGAGCTTGAGGTAGAAGCGGTAGGAGCTGTTGTAGGAGGATGGCTCCTCAGAGGCCCTTGAATCCTTGTTTCAGCTGTAGAGGCAGCACTTTGGGCTCAGTATTTCCTCAGTTTTGCCAACTCACCCCTTGAACCCTCAAAGATGGTTTCCCTTGTCTCCTTCCTTGTGACTGCTCCCCCCAAATCCATGGCTGCATCCAAATCCAGCAGTGCCAAACTGCAAGGGAGAGCAGCAAACACCAGGATTGCAGTTCCTGAGTCTGCAGTTTTCCTGTCCTACCCCCGGGTTTTCGAGGCAAGGGGTCTGTGAAATGAAACCACCAGCAGCAAAGGCTGGAAAAGCCATGAAAACCCGACTTGCAATGCTTTGGGAATACAGTTTATTTAATTGCCATAACCCAAACAGAATGCAGAGACACGAGGGAGACAGAAAACCAGAGAAGATAAGGAACAAAAGCTGCTGTTTTCCCTTGAAACCGTGGGGCCAAGAGCAAACACAGACACAAATGCAGGTATCGGGTGATATGCAGGGCCCCACCCTCAGGGATTAACCTCACTCCTGGGGAAGGGAATTCAGGGTTGGGAATTGTAAAGAAATGACCTCCAGACTGGTCTGGAGGCAAGAAGAGAAACCTTTGTTGAAATTCCCAAGAGCCACCAAAGCTGACACTGGAAGGGATGTCACCTCTCAGCCGCCCTCCAGGGTGCCAGGGCTGTCTGTCCCAGGGTTTCCTTCCCTCTAACCTTTGATTTCCTGCTGCAAGTGGAACAAAACCCCATCCAAGCCTGTTAAGGACAGGGAGTGACATCTCCCCTCTCACCATCTGCGCAAGAAACCACTCCAAAATTCCACAGTGACAACCCCAACCCCTGCTTTACTCACCTGACTTTTAAAACCAGGGCATCCCTAATAATAACTTAATAAATCCCTTTCCCACTTCCTCCACAAAATACTTCCATTGCAGAAGGTTTTCCCCACTGTGGTAGTTGTTGTCTGTGCTGCTCCTGCTTTGGCATTGCAGGCCCTCAGATCTGGGGGGAAAATTTGGGGGTTTGCTGTAGATTTTGAATAAATCTGTGTGGAAAGCATTGTCCAGAGACATAAATAGAGAGCTGGGATCATGTGGATTTGGGATCCACACGTGGTTTTAACCAAAATCTCTCATTTCAAGATCTCCCTCTCTGTGGAAGATCCACTCAGGGGAGTGCCCACATGAAGATAAGCCCTGTCTTTAACTAACCCACAAACTCGAGGGCTTAAAAACCACCTGTGGAAGTTGTTATCCCATTGGAAATGTGGAACTTCTCAGCCTTCCTATGGAGCAAGGAGAGCTGGGTATCACCCACCCATCTGTTTGCTCAGGGCCTTACCGAAGTGTAAATACCCGTGTGCTTTGATCTGCAACATTGCTAAACATCCTGGGCTGGAGTGAGCTGATAGGAAACTATTTCCCTCCTTATTTTATTTCTTTTTCGTGCACAGGTTTGCCTTGATCCTCCCACCCTGCAGGGTGGAGACCCCAAGTTTATGGTGGAAGTTTATTGCTTTTTTCTTGCTGCCTTCAATGGGCATCTCTTAGTGGGAGCAGCAGCTGCTTAAGTAGGAGTGGGTTTAGAAAGGGATTTGTGGGGAGAGATGGAAAAGGTTGGTGTTGTGTGGGGTGTTCCCAGAAGGAAAACTGGCTCAGGGATCCTTGGTAGCCAGGGGGGATCAGGAGGACTCCCCGTTCCTCCCAGCTGCAGCTTTCCCAGCACAAAGAAACTTCCCCAAAAGAGTTGTTTTAGATCCTCTTGTGATCTTGTATGTAATTTTAAAAAAGTGTTTTCCTCAGTATTCATGAGTTTGGTGTTTATTTGTGTGGTTTGATGCAGTGGTCACTGGATCATGGGGAGGTTAAACCCAGTCTTGTGCTCCCATCCTGCTGCCTTTGCTCAGGAGGGGCTTTAATGCCTTGGTTTTGAACTGTTAGGGCTTAACTCCAAAGATTTGGGTCTTTCAGCAGGGTGACACTGTTGTGGTCTTGCC